ATATATATATATATATATATATATATATATATATATATATATATATATATATGCACGTATGTGTAGTATGTATGAAAGAAACCCAAGCATATATCTATGTAAATGTGCTAGACACCCCCACCCGGACAGTGTCATGAATGTTTGTGTATCACTGATATATCGCCTATATCATCTCCCTGATATATCATCTCCTTGATATATCGCCTATATCATCTCCCTGATATATCATCTCCCTGATATATCGCCTATATCATCTCCATGATATATCGCCTATATCATCTCCCTGATATATCGCCTATATCATCTCCCTGATATATCGCCTATATCATCTCCCTGATATATCGCCTATATCATCTCCCTGATATATCGCCTATATCATCTCCCTGATATATCGCCTATATCATCCCCCTGATATATCGCCTATATCATCCCCCTGATATATCGCCTGTATCATCTCCCTGATATATCGCCTATATCATCTCCATGATATATCGCCTATATCATCCCCCTGATATATCGCCTATATCATCCCCCTGATATATCGCCTATATCATCTCCCTGATATTTCGCCTATATCATCTCCCTGATATATCGCCTATATCATCTCCCTGATATATCGCCTATATCATCTCCCTGATATATCATCTCCCTGATATATCGCCTATATCATCCCCCTGATATATCGCCTATATCATCTCCCTGATATATCGCCTGTATCATCTCCCTGATATATCGCCTATATCATCTCCATGATATATCGCCTATATCATCCCCCTGATATATCGCCTATATCATGTCCCTGATATATCGCCTATATCATCCCCCTGATATATTGTCTATATCATCCCCCTGATATATCGCCTATATCATCCCCCTGATATATCGCCTATATCATCTCCCTGATATATCGCCTATATCATCTCCCTGATATATCGCCTATATCATCTCCCTGATATATCGCCTATATCATCTCCCTGATATATCGCCTATATCATCTCCCTGATATATCGCCTATATCATCCCCCTGATATATCGCCTATATCATCTCCCTGATATTTCGCCTATATCATCTCCCTGATATATCGCCTATATCATCTCCCTGATATATCATCTCCCTGATATTTCGCCTATATCATCTCCCTGATATATCGCTTATATCATCTCCCTGATATATCATCTCCCTGATATTTCGCCTATATCATCTCCCTGATATATCGCTTATATCATCTCCCTGATATATCATCTCCCTGATATATCGCCTATATCATCTCCCTGATATATCGCCTATATCAGCTTCTATTAACGTTATGCTGACGGAGAGCTGGTATATCTAATGATGATAAAGATAAATGCGAAACTTTTTGTGTGTCATTAGACATAAATATGCCAGTTGCACCTTTCACACCACTCGTTTATTACGTAACACTCGCGTGTGTGAGTACTTTTTGTGTCAGCAACAATCACGTGCAGCTCAAGGTGTGCACGTGAGTAGTTCATGTGCTCATTAGTGTCTAAATACCTTCGTATTTACCCACATACTCCACAGTGACCTTTGTAGTTACTTACATACTTTGTATGACCTTTGTAGTTACTTACATACTTTGTATGACCTTTGTAGTTACTTACATACTTTGTATGACCTTTGTAGTTACTTACATTTCAATAACCTTTTCCCACACATAGGCGAAAAGACTTTTCTATTTGCTTACATTCGACTTTGATCTTTGTAGTGGCTTACAAACTTGACCATGACCGACTGTAGCTAACCCGTAAAGTTCCGAGTTCGAATCCCTGGGCAGATGAGGCTCGATATTTGGGGACAGGAACCCATCTAGGAGAGAAAACTCCGAAATCCAACAGGAGTGGCGCCCCTTACACGACAGGGTTACAAACCCTGTCAGCACCTGCGACACACCTGATTCCAACCTGCCCCCCCCCCCCCGGGTCCATCAGCTGTATGGAGTGAGGGGACCTGATACATCGGCAACATCTGCTTCTTCTCGACTTGCGGCCCAGGATTTGCGTTTAGATTCCCAGGCGGAATTATCCAACAATGATCTTGATATTTCTGTAGTTTTACTTAACGGTATGTCACGATATGCCACGATACGTCAGCAAATGTCACGATATGTCAGCAAATGTCACCATGTGATACTGAAAGTTTAACCAGAGCCACATAGCTAACCCCAACCCCAACCCCAACCCCATCTCCTACCCCTTACCCTTACCCTAACACTAACCCACAGCTGGTAACGTAGTCTCCGATACTTAAGGCCAGCCTATGGATACAATTATCGTTGTTTGTGATAGCGACTCCGAGGGCATGATGACTAACTGATAAGAACCCATAAGATATCATAACTTTTATTATTTTCTCTCTCAAATGTTGCGGCGTCATTACTTACAGGAAAACCAGAGTCAAAAAGTCAGCATGAAAACGTGACTCTAAAACCGCGAGTTTACCTTGAATGCTCGAGACCCATATTTACTCGCACCTGAGTTCTCAGCAGATACTTCAGCAGATACTTCAGCAGATACCTCGAGCAGATAACCGAAGCCTGTCCGTCTCCACAGTTCATTACGACGGTTACTCTTCGTTTTAAAATTCCAAAGACTAAGTAGCTGAAGTGGGAGGCTGATTCAACAGCAGTTACCAACATTTCCCGCAACTAAGTGGCTCAAGTGGGAGGTAAATAGAACAGCAGGCAGAAACTTGGACTAATGCGTTGTCTCTCACCCCCCATACAAGACGCTGGGTGTTTGTGTCAGGGGCGTGGCTAGGGTTTCAGTCGACAGGAGCAGCGAGTCCTCAAAACACGGTGCAGGGAAAGTTTTCCATTTGTAAGGGGAGAGGCGATGACAAGGCGAAAGAAATATAAAAGTCGACAACAGCTTTTCCTGCATGTATGATGGACACAATGTGTGATGGACACAATGTGTGATGGACACAATGTTTGATGGACACAATGTTTGATGGACACAATGTAGGGTGGACACAATGCGTGATGGACACAATGTAGGGTGGACACAATGTGTGGTGGACACAATGTATGATGGACACAATGTGTGATGGACACAATGTGTGATGGACACAATGTGTGATGGACACAATGTTTGATGGACACAATGTTTGATGGACACAATGTAGGGTGGACACAATGTAGGGTGGACACAATGTGTGATGGACACAATGTGTGATGGACACAATGTGTGATGGACACAATGTAGGGTGGTCACAATGTAGGGTGGACACAATGTGTAGTGGACACAATGTGTAATGGACACAATGTGTGGTGGACACAATGTGTGATGGACACAATGTGTGATGGACACAATGTTTGATGGACACAATGTAGGGTGGACACAATGTTTGATGGACACAATGTGTGATGGACACAATGTAGGGTGGACACAATGTTTGATGGACACAATGTAGGGTGGACACAATGTTTGATGGACACAATGTGTGATGGACACAATGTGTGGTGGACACAATGTGTGATGGACACAATGTGTGATGGACACAATGTGTGATGGACACAATGTAGGGTGGACACAATGTGTGGTGGACACAATGTGTGATGGACACAATGTAGGGTGGACACAATGTTTGATGGACACAATGTAGGGTGGACACAATGCGTGATGGACACAATGTAGGGTGGACACAATGTGTGATGGACACAATGTAGGGTGGACACAATGTGTGATGGACACAATGTAGGGTGGACACAATATGTGAAGAGTTTTGTCAGTCGGTGTACGAACAGTTTTGTCAGTTTGTCAGACGTATGTCAGTCGGTGTATGAAGAGTTATGTCAGTCTGACGCTGTATGAACTGCACCAACTGCCTGCCTAACAAAAACAAAGCCCCCAAAACCTCGAATGAAAGACGAACAAGAGCCCACGAAATAAAATAATGAGCCGGCGATAGTTTTGATAAGATAGCAACAGCTGACACTAAATGTTCGTTAAAAAAACAATTAAAATATTTTCCTCGACTAGCAGCCGATATCAGCACGTGCTGGCGGGAGTTGGGAGGGGGATGAGCACATCGTTTTTAAAGCGATTTTAAAATAATAGACGTTTAACTTTAGTTTCCTTTGGGGGATTAACTTATTTTATATTAGTGTTAGAAAATTACTTGGTGGATTGTAAAAAGAACGGACAATAGTTGGAGTTTATGTCGTTTGCTGGTTAATGGCAGGTCAGTGACAGGTCACCTACTCCCCCCCACCCGACTGTAGGATTTATAAAATGTGTGTGGTATCTGTTGTGTACAGTTGGCTGACGTACCCCAGTCACATGACCAGTTGTACACCCCCTCCCCCCAGTCACATGACCAGTTGTACACCCCCTCCCCTCCCCTCCTGACGTACCCCAGTCACATGACCAGTTGTACACCCCTCCCCCCCAGTCACATGACCAGTTGTACACCCCCTCCCCCCTCCCCTCCTGACGTACCCCAGTCACATGACCAGTTGTACACCCCTCCCCCCAGTCACATGACCAGTTGTACACCCCCTCCCCCCTCCCCTCCTGACGTACCCCAGTCACATGACCAGTTGTACACCCCCTCCCCTCCCCTCCTGACGTACCCCAGTCACATGACCAGTTGTACACCCCCTCCCCTCCCCTCCTGACGTACCACAGTCACATGACCAGTTGTACACCCCCTCCCCTCAGTCACATGACCAGTTGTACACCCCCTCCCCTCCCCTCCCCTCCTGACCGCTTGTCATACCGGTGTCATGTCTGATTTAGGTCACCCATTCAATGTTCCGATAAGACCGTTCTATAAATAGCCCTGTCACTGTTATGATTTGTTTGTGTGCTGGTTATCGTCCTTGCCCGCATGTGTCCCTCACAGGGAAATTAATTAGTCCAATTAATTATTTAATTTGGCTGTCAGTGTTGCCACGTTTGACATGTGCTACTGTCTAGGTGTGGTCTGAATGTGACTGACCATTGACCATGCTTGTTTGTGATCTTGTCGACAGGTCGGCCCCCGTCAAGTACTTCACCCACGAGTTGTCCTTCAGGGGAAGACTTCGCCGCTTCTTCATCAGGAACTCGACCACACGTAAGTTGCTTCAGTCATTTCTTTTGGAAAAGTATTCATATTTTTCTAGTATCGATACTTTTAAAGTTTCGATACTGTTTTAAATACGATAGATTTTGCGAATATTTATCGTTTTAAAATTCGATAGTTTTAAAATATCAGTACAGTTTTAGCATAACTATACTTTTTGAATGTATTAATATATTTTTCAAGTCCTTTAAAGTTTTGAAATAACATTTTATGTTTCGATAATCCTAGTATCGATATTTTTAAATTAGCGATTACGTTTTTAAAATGTCTATTTGTAAAGGAATCGTGTTCAATATGGGCAATATGGTGGTTTATCCTTTTCTATTGTTATATCCTGGTATTGTACAGAAAACGTGATATACAACTCTTAACTTGAATGTTATCCCTCCTGCAAAATGTCTGCTGTTGTTGATATGAACTGACACATGAGAACTGTGTACAGCGCCATCTGTTATGTCTTGTTGTCAGGGAAGACTCTCCGCCTAATGTCACTCCATTATTTATTTAAAGACAAAATGAATTACTAAATAGTGTTGTGGTTTGTGGGTGGGTGGGGCGGGTGTTGCTTCTAGAAATGTTATACGAGTGTGATGCTCAATGGAAATGTTAATGTAACTTTGTGTGTGTTAGGGGAGGTCAATACATCACATTTTTGTTATGGTAGGGAGGACAATACATCACATTTTTGTTATGGTAGGGAGGTCAATACATCACATTTTTGTTATGGTAGGGAGGTCATTATATCACATTATTGTTATGGTAGGGAGGTCATTATATCACATTATTGTTATGGTAGGGAGGTCAATACATCACATTTTTGTTATGGTAGGGAGGTCATTATATCACACTTGTGTTATACAACATTGTGCACGAGTCTAGCACCCCCCCCTACCCATGACAAATGCGAAATGTTCACCCACAGGTGTGTCCCATATATTCCCAGCAGGTCTAGAATGTTCCACGTTAACATAACGATTAGACCTTAACCCTTACCCCAGGCTGAGACAAGGCTGTCCCCCCAGAAAGTTATATTTATCGCTGCTTTTTGACTCGATGCGTTGTGCACATGTGATGAAATGATGACACACTAGATGAGGGTGGGGATACATGGGAGTGGGGGGGGGGGGGTGGGGGTGGGGGGGGGGAAGAGAAACTGACCCCCGACGTAAGAAACAGATATTCGTGATTCAACAAACGGACCGAAGCCACGTTACTGCAGGGTAAAAACACGAGCCCGTTCTAACCCTCTTGTAAAAAAACTTCAAGTAAACACCAAATCTAATTAGTTCCGGTAGTCTAACGTAGTTAACACTTGTCTCCCTTTAAATCATCATTATCTCCCCTCCACCCCAGGTCTAGCCTGCACGTTTTTTGACCTCGCCCTAAAGACAATTATCTGCGCCCTCTACGTCACCAGGGTATATCTGGATGATCCCGCCCAATATGAATGGTAAATATTTCTTTCTCTGTCTAATTTTTTTTTTACTGTCAACTGTTTAATTTACACCTCGTAAAATTGGCGCCGTGTTTTGTAAATCCTACACCAAACACGTTTTAGCTTTACTTTCCAAACAGAAAATAAAACACATAGTTACACATTTTTCAACTAACTATTTACATTATTTTTTTCCCATAACAAATTAAACTACTTAATTTTAATAATTATTAAAACGTTTCTCCAAAATGTATTTTTACTTAGCGTTTCCACACGATTACTTTACATTCACACTCCACAATACATTACTATGTCTTAAAACTCTTTAACTCCCCACCCCTCCCCCTCCCCTGTGATCTCAGCAACGGCTCACCGTGTGGTCAAAACATGACCAGAGAGGAACTCTTCAAATCTACAGGTGACGTCAACTGGTAAGTCTGCTGGAAGTGGGTCAAGGTTACTTAGTGGACACGTGTTACCTGTACGTGATTACCTGTGTTTGTTACAATAGCCGTTACCTGTACATGGTTGCCTGTGTTTGTTACAATAGCCGTTACCTGTACGTGGTTGCCTGTGTTTGTTACAATAGCTGTTACCTGTACGTGGTTACCTGTGTTTGTTACAATAACCGTTACCTGTGTTTGTTACAATAGCCTTTACCTGTACGTGGTTGCCTGTGTTTGTTACAATAGCCGTTACCTGTGTTTGCTACAATAGCCTTTACCTGTACGTGGTTACCTGTGTTTGTTACAATAACCGTTACCTGTGTTTGTTACAATAGCCTTTACCTGTGTTTGTTACAATAGCCGTTACCTGTACGTAGTTACCTGTGTTTGTTACAGAAGCCGTTACCTGTGTTTGTTACAATAGCCTTTACCTGTACGTGGTCACCTGTGTTTGTTACAATAGCCGTTACCTGTACCTGGTTACCTGTGTTTTACAATAGCCGTTACCTGTGTTACCTGTGTTTGTTACAATAGCCGTTACCTGTGTTACCTGTGTTTGTTACAATAGCCGTTACCTGTGTTACCGGTGTTTGTTACAATAGCCGTTACCTGTACGTGGTTGCCTGTGTTTGTTACAATAGCCGTTACCTGTATTACCTGTTGCAGGTATGTTTTGCTGTGGGTCTATCGCAGCTGGACAATTTGGACAGCTGAAATAGCCTTGGCCTACATCTCGCTGTGTAAAGCTCTGCTCATGATCTACATAGCAACAAGGGTAAGCTCGACACTCCATCCATCCTGTCTAGCTTCAGGGGTGGGGATGCGACAGTTATTACTAGTATAAAGATGGATTCTCTCATGATTGTATACTATCTGTTGATTTCCTTGTCAAATATTTACTGCAAACATTATTTATATTTTTACATTTTGTCTGTCATTTAGGGTCATCGTATGGACCAAGTATTGACCTTGACATTTCTGTTGGAGATTTGCTGTTCAGTACCAATGCTCATTACTGTAAGCCTTATGTTTTTTTAAAGGAAATGTTGCTTTAGAAGTACATGGAAATCCCTATAAAAATGAAGATCAATCAAATCTTGACATTTTTTAAATTTTAAAAGCTGATTTCAAACAAAATGAACCACACTTGTATTGTTGTAAATGTGCCTCCATCTGTCCACCAGATTATCTACCCTTTGAAGTTGCGCCACTTGTTTGTTCCAGTCTTCCTTAACTGCTGGCTGGCTAAAAGATCTCTGGAGAAAATTTATGTGAGCTGTTTTTGAATGTAGTTTTTGTAGAGCACCTGGCCACCTATACAATTGTTGCCAGGTGGCAAAATTATATTTTTTTGCCTGGGAAAATTATTACTTGGTGCTAACATTGTGTGTTAATAAATGTGTACTGGTTTTTCAATTAAATCCAATTTTAATTAACTTATGCTAATTGTTTTCTTGTGTTTGCAGAATGACCTTCACCTTACAAGGCAGCGCTTCCAGACCATATCAGTCACATTACTGCAGCAAATGGTTATGCTGGTTGTCAATGTCATGTGTCTAGTCTTCATCAAGTGAGTGTCTTAAGTGTGTCTTGTCTTCATCAAACATATTAAGTGTGTCTTGTCTTCATCAAGTATCGTAAGTGTGTCTTGTCTTCATCAAGTGTCTTAAGTGTGTCTTGTCTTCATTAAACGTATTAAGTGTGTCTTGTCTTCATCAAGTATCTTAAGTGTGTCTTGTCTTCATCAAGTGTCTTAAGTGTGTCTTGTCTTCATCAAGTGAGTGTCTTAAGTGTGTCTTGTCTTCATCAAACATATTAAGTGTGTCTAGTCTTCATCAAGTGTCTTAAGTGTGTCTTGTCTTCATCAAGTGTCTTAAGTGTGTCTTGTCTTCATTAAACGTATTAAGTGTGTCTTGTCTTCATCAAGTATCTTAAGTGTGTCTAGTCTTCATCAAGTGAGTGTCTTAAGTGTGTCTAGTCTTCATCAAGTGAGTATCTTAAGTGTGTCTAGTCTTCATCAAGTATCTTAAGTGTGTCTTGTCTTCATCAAATGTCTTAAGTGTGTCTTGTCTTCATCAAGTGAGTGTCTTAAGTGTGTCTTGTCTTCATTAAACGTATTAAGTGTGTCTTGTCTTCATCAAGTATCTTAAGTGTGTCTTGTCTTCATCAAGTATCTTAAGTGTGTCTTGTCTTCATCAAGTGAGTGTCTTAAGTGTGTCTTGTCTTCATCAAACATATTAAGTGTGTCTAGTCTTCATCAAGTGTCTTAAGTGTGTCTTGTCTTCATCAAGTGTCTTAAGTGTGTCTTGTCTTCATTAAACGTATTAAGTGTGTCTTGTCTTCATCAAGTATCTTAAGTGTCTCTAGTCTTCATCAAGTGAGTGTCTTAAGTGTGTCTAGTCTTCATCAAGTGAGTATCTTAAGTGTGTCTAGTCTTCATCAAGTATCTTAAGTGTGTCTTGTCTTCATCAAGTGTCTTAAGTGTGTCTTGTCTTCATCAAGTGTCTAAAGTGTGTCTTGTCTTCATTAAACGTATTAAGTGTGTCTTGTCTTCATCAAGTATCTTAAGTGTGTCTTGTCTTCATCAAGTGTCTAAAGTGTGTCTTGTCTTCATCAAGTGTTTAAAGTGTGTCTTCTCTTCATCAAGTGTCTAAAGTGTGTCTTGTCTATCTATATACTACTAAAAGTCTAGCCTAGATCTAGGTCACTAGACTCAATGTACATTCTAGATCTAGACCTAATGTAAATTCTACATCTAGAATCTATTTCAGGCCTTAATTATTTTATATAAATCTTTGTTTAGCTTCAATGATCATCTAATTCGAGAATAAATGGGATTTTTAAAAATCTAGGTTCTATATCTAGATATAGTAGGATTACTAACTAACTTGGAGGCGTGGTCGGCTGCTAACAACAATATGGCGTCCGGACCGGACGAATGACTTCGGACCATTTTTAGGCCATGTTTACCACGAGCAAAATGGCGGGTGTTCACATTACTTAAACATGGTATAGGTGGCCAGGGCTAGATATGCCAGAAAAGCATTTTAAAATTTGCTTTGGAGAGTGAAGGCTAAATTTTAAAGTCAGTGTCATAAAAATTAATAGAACTTTTTTTTTTTACGTTTTCAATTATTTTTTCTTAAGCCCTATATGTGAATGATAAGGTTGACTATCAGGAACTCGCGGGGCACAGGGCAGGTGAAGTAGGGTTCATCTGTTTCTTTGTCCTAAGCATATGAAGGGATAGTGTGGTCAGAGACATGCTCGGCTGGAATCGTTTTTTAAACGATAAAAACATGTTGTCTGAGACTTGGCGGGACACTGGGCAGGTGAAGTAGAGTTGAGTAGGTCACCTGTGACGTCAGTATATGAAGGGATAGTCCGAAATCGGTGTTTTCGGTGTTTTTAAATGATAAAAAACATCTTTTTGAATGTGGGGTCTGTTTTTTGTGACGATAAGTGACACTGCAGTAGCGTAGCGAGGAGGGGGGGCGGGTGGGGGACATATGTCCCCGGGCGCCGACCTTAGGGGGCGCCAAAATGGGTTGGAAAAATAAATTGAAAGGTTGAGGGGGGTGCAAATTGAAAGTTTGAGTGGGGGGGGGGGTGCACATCAAAAGTTTGAGGGGGGGGGGGTTGCAAATCGAAATCTTGCGGGGGGGGGGGGGGTTCAAATCGAAAAGTTTGTCCCCGGGCGCCGAGAAGGGTCGCTATGCATCTGAGTGACAGACGTGATGTTTTTTGATGGATGACCCCCGAAACCCACAGTTATCCAAGGGATGACGGGTAGTCTAGTCTTGTCTTCATCAAGTATATTAAGTGTGTCTTGTCTTCATCAAGTGAGTGTCTTAAGTGTGTCTTGTTTTCATCAAGTGTTTTAAGTGTGTCTTGTCTTCATCAAGTGTCTTAAGTGTGTCCTCTGTTTCATCCAACATTTTGTCCCCAGCATCTGTTTCATCCAACATTTTGTCCCCAGCATCTGTTTCATCCAACATTTTGTCCCCAGCATCTGTTTCATCCAACATTTTGTCCCCAGCATCTGTTTCATCCAACATTTTGTCCCCAGCATCTGTTTCATCCAACATTTTGTCCCCAGCATGTTTCATCCAACATTTTGTCCCCAGCATCTGTTTCATCCAACATTTTGTCCCCAGCATCTGTTTCATCCAACATTTTGTCCCCAGCATCTGTTTCATCCAACATTTTGTCCCCAGCATCTGTTTCATCCAACATTTTGTCCCCAGCATCTGTTTCATCCAACATTTTGTCCCCAGCATCTGTTTCATCCAACACATCCAGCGAGCCAGTAAGGACACGCCCCTGACGATGTTTGAGTCCCTGTACTTTGTCATCGTGACATTCTCCACGGTGGGGTACGGCGACATCTCACCCGACATCTGGCTGGGGCGGCTGTTCACCATCATCATGATCTGTGTGGCCTTTGCCTCAATACCCCGACATGTAAGCTTTTTTTATAATATTGACCAGCTGCCTAAAGTCAATATTTTATTTATTTTTGACCTTTTGAAAATTTTAACATATTACTTTATGATTACCTATCGCTTTAAGTCAATAAAGTTGACCTATTTCAGAAAGTTGATCCATTTTCTAATGTTTACCTATTTTCTAATGTTGGCCTTCTGCCTAATGTATACCTGTTGTTTAATGTTGACCTGTTGTCCCTTAGATCGAGGGCCTGGTGTCCACCTACATAGAGCGCCAGAAGGCAGGAGGTGAATACAGCCAGCGGTCAGCCCAGCGCAACAAGCACGTGATTGTCTGCAGCAGTTCTCTCATACAGGACACTCTAATGGACTTCCTCAATGAATTCTATGCTCATCCTAAGCTGGAGGTCAGTACCTGACTGACCGTTACTAGTGGCAGTTGGCTGACATCTAGTGGCAGTTAGCCTGACATCTAGTGGCAGTTAACTGACATCTAGTGGTAGTTAACTGACATTTAGTGGCAGTTAACTGACATCTAGTGGCAGTTAACTGACATCTAGTGGCAGTTAGACTGACATGCCACTAAGACTGTTTGTACTGTTTGTTTGGTTTGACCTTGGTTAACCTTGATTTGACCTTTGTTAACCTTGATTTGACCCCCAGGAGCACACAGTGATACTCTTGTGTCCCCAAGAGCTGGACAGCAACAAGCAGGTCATCCTTAAGGACCCCAAGTGGGCCCACAGGGTCATCTACATGAGAGGGTCATCTCTCAAGGACATTGACCTCAAGCGGTGCCGCGTCCACCAGGCGGACGCTTGTTTCTTCCTGGCCCCGCGGCCCACACAGGACAAGGCCAAAGCTGTAGGTCTCACATTTAAAAGGAAGTTGTTAAACTTCACTTGTTCATTAAGTTTAAAGTTCCCTTTTTGAACCTGACGGTCCATTGGGCAAGTGAAGTAGAGTTCACCTGTTTCTGTGAAGGGATAGTGTGGTCAGCACTATGCCGAGCCACCTTTATGCTCCCTCACATGAACTAGCTGACCATCAGAGCTGGACTCAGGAACCAGATTCAAACACAAGACTTTTGGGTTAGCAGTCTAGTGTTCTATTGCCAGGCCATGCAAGTTTACAGTGAAGTGAATACACATTGTCTTTTCATTTGGGTGATATTTTCTTCACATTCCTGAACATTATTTTAAAATGTGAAAGGCTTTAAAATACATGTAGTTACAGGAAAGAGCCATAATAAAGTTGAGATGACCATGTAATGAACTATCAAGTAATGCATCGTCATGTATTGGCTAACCACAAGAACTATTTTGACAGGACCGCCACACCATCCTGAGGTCGTGGGCCGTCAAAGACTTTGCCCCAGCCTGCAAACAGTACATCCAACTTTTTAAATCTGCCAACAAAATCCACGTCAAGTTTGCTGGTCAGTTGTTGTCTTGTCACTCAGAACATTTTCCTTTTTAATTAAGATAATTATTTTAACGAGGTTTAAATAAGTTGACCTTTACCCTTTTCCCCCCACAGAGCACGTGGTGTGTGAGGATGAGTTCAAGTACGCCCTGCTGGCCAACAACTGTCTGTACCCAGGCTTGTCTACCCTTGTCTCACTGCTAGTCCACACCTCCACTGGCCAGTAAGTTTTATTTGTTCAGCTTATTTCAGTACTGGGCAGTAAGTTTTATTTGTTCAGCTTATTTCAGTACTGGGCAGTAAGTTTTATTTGTTCAGCTTATTTCAGTACTGGACAGTAAGTTTTATTTGTTCAGCTTATTTCAGTACTGGGCAGTAAGTTTTATTTGTTCAGCTTATTTCAGTACTGGGCAGTAAGTTTTATTTGCTCAGCTTATTTCAGTACTGGGCAGTAAGTTTTATTTGCTCAGCTTATTTCAGTACTGGACAGTAAGTTTTATTTGTTCAGCTTATTTCAGTACTGGGCAGTAAGTTTTATTTGCTCAGCTTATTTCAATACTGGGCAGTAAGTTTTTGATATTTGCTCAGCTTATTTCAGTACTGGGCAGTAAGTTTTATTCGCTCAGCTTATTTCAGTACTGGACAGTAAGTTTTATTTGTTCAGCTTATTTCAGTACTGCGCAGTAAGTTTTATTTGCTCAGCTAATTTCAGTACTGGGCAGTAAATTTTATTTGCTCAGCTTATTTCAGTACTGGGCAGTAAATTTTATTTGCTCAGCTTATTTCAGTACTGGGCAGTAAGTTTTATTTGTTCAGCTTATTTCAGTACTGGGCAGTAAGTTTTATTTGCTCAGCTAATTTCAGTACTGGGCAGTAAATTTTATTTGTTCAGCTTATTTCAATACTGGGCAATACGTTTTATTTGTTCAGCTTATATCAGTACTGAGCAGTACATTTTATTTGCTCAGCTTATTTCAGTACTGAGCAGTACATTTTATTTGTTCAGCTTATTTCAGTACTGAGCAGTACATTTTATTTGTTCAGCTTATTTCAGTACTGGGCAGTACATTTTATTTGTTCATCTTATTTCAGTACTGAGCAGTACATTTTATTTGCTCAGCTAATTTTCATGCTAGCCAGTAAATTTTATTTGCTCAGCTTATTTCAGTACTGGGCAGTACATTTTATTTGTTCAGCTAATTTTCATACTAGCCAGTAAGTTTTTTGTTCAGATAATTTCAGTAGTGTGTTTAGTTATTTAAAGTTCCCAACTATTGAGTTACTTAAATAAAAACAAATCTATTAAGATGGGGAATGTTTGTCACCCATCAGATATAGTAAATAAACCTCCACCAATCAAACCTAATAATGAACAAAAAAATTCAAATATTTGTAATTAATAACAAGAGATCAAATGTCTAGTGTGAAATGTCTCCCAGTACGTAAAGTTTATTACAAAATTAAAAAAAAATGTTTTATGTTGTATCACAATGCTAACATACATATGACACCGACTTCACATACAACAGTTGCCAACACCACATACATCAGTTACATTAACACACATACTGAGAACCCTTCATGTGTAATGTGTACCCATAACAAAATGTTTTAATTAAAGTGGCATCTCAAATATATTTTTTACTGCTAGAGTTTTCTGTGTACCTCATGATTTTACCTCATGATTTTTAATCTTTGAAATGAGTTTTAATTTTTCTACTAAATGTTACAGTGTCAGCATGCCAAGAAGATTCTTTTTGGTACAAAAAAAATAAACTGAAAAACAAATTTTTCTAAAATTGTATGGTATAATTTATACCTTTTTGGACAACAGTATGTTTACATTAACAAATATTGATGGTTTTTGCATTCTACATATAACAAAATTTGATTGTTGGTGTTGTAACCTCATGTTGTAGCTCATTACCCTTGACATTGTGCTAGTCAGTTACTTAAAAAGCCCAACTGTTAAGATCATAACAAGGTAACGAAACAAACTTCTTTCATCAGGATTCAGCCAGTTTTAGCCAAGATTTATGGGTCTGTGTCCAGGGTTTAATTCTCCCATTTCTTTGATTGCCTGATTGGACTATCTACTCTAGACTCTGGTCTAATATTGCAATAACATCTCCCCACTCTTGGCACAAGTGCAAGGATTTGCATGTTTGCGCATGAACTAATCCATTCAGACACCACTCACAACTTCACTCGCGTCTGCTGAAATTAAAAACAAACACAACCAACATATTTGCTAACGCTGGATATAATTCCCTCCATTTCAAAGTTGAAAAAAATAAATAAAACTTTGGATAGAATATAGAAAAAAGTTCACTGCTGTGAGGCAGTGTGTAGTTGCAAGAAGACATTTTTTTCTGTTTTATTTTGTTAAGACTTCTGTCATCACTTAACTGGAGCTCTGGGTAAGCCAATGTAGACTGGTATGGTGACTATTAACACAACTCAACTATTAACACAACTCAACTATTAACACAATAAAAGCATGGTTAGAATTGCTCACTTATGGATGGTATTTCTAACACAATTAAATAAAAATTTGCTTTGGTTTCTAGTGATTGGAATAGATTGTCAAATATTTTTGTCATGCTGTGATTAGTGTCTTGTCTCCCTTCATATTTATGGGAATAGATGGCTTTAGACTTAATGGTTAATAATTTTACAAATTTGAACATTTTAATATTTGAACTATCTAAGAATGCAGACTGGAAGATGAAAAAACAAACAATGGTGTCATAAAAAACTGTTTGATATTTTTACAGATACATTTTTGTTGTTTTGTTTGATAGTTTATCTGTTTAACAATGGCCTCAACTAATTTTTTAAATAATTAACTTTTTCATTTTTTTTTCTAAATTTTCTATTTCTTGTTTAACATTGTGCATGTAAAAAATATTGTGCTGCAAGGAAATTCTTTCCGCCTGATTGGAAAATCTGATTTTAAAAAATGCCTGTCTTTAAAAAACTGGAATGACTTACTTCCCTTTTATTTTCAGACCTGACCCAATGTGAGGATGGTATTTTTTTTGTTAGATGCTAAGTGTTGTTCATATGTTGTCTTCATATGTTGTCTTCATATGTTCTATTTAAATGTTGTATTAATTTTTTTCTGGCCTGAATCATAACAATTTAACTTAACTAGTTAACCAGTATCTCACGTTCTTGCAGAAATATATTACAAAAAAATAATTTTTTAACCGTAACAATTGAATGCTTTCAATCAGCACCCTGTATGTCTGTATGTCTGTTTGTGCTCAGAAAAGAATTGCTAAAAAACTTCACATCATCTTACACTTGCATGGCAGAATGTATTTATAGCCTTGACCCATTAACTTGATCTAACCTGAGGCCTAGTTGTATCATACATTTTTGTCATGTCTCATACAACACAGGAAGCTCTTTAAATTAAATTCAGGTCATTTTAATTCTGATATTTTGTGGCCAATTTTTGACAAAAGATCTGGTTCTGGTGGGAGCAAAGAATGGAGCAAAGAACATGCCATTTTGTTTTCTAGTAAAGTTTTTGTAGGAAGTAACGTAAAAAAATCTGGCATCAAACTAGACTGTAAATCCAGGTCACCTAACGCAGTTTAATTTTCTTTGCCTTTTTAAAATAACCAATAATTAGTATTGACATCTTTAAAAAAACATAAAAACTGTTACTAATGTTATCTTTACCTTATGTTACTCATTATTTCTTTGAAATCACCATAAGAAAAAAAAAATACTAATAAAAATTAATGTTTACTATAAAATATAAATTTTAATTCTTCAAATAATGTATTATCACTTGAAAGATTGGTAACAGTGAATTTCATATTAAAATTAACATGTCTGTTAAATGAAAAAAATAAAACCATTTCATTAATTATGGGAGTAATTAGACAAATTATCTCATTTATTTTGTATTAAGCTTTAGATGTTTTACTAAACCTACTTTGGTGTTTTAAAATTAAATTAGTTAAAGCTCTAATTAAAATATTTCACTGTTTGAGATCTCAAGTTCTTAATTGAGTTTACTGCTGTTTGATAATGTTTCTAATTATATTGAACTGTACCTGCTGGACATTATAGTTGTCGTCAGGCTATGATCAGGGTCAGCCTATGTTAATGATTGGGGTCACCCTATGTCTATGATTGCCTATATCAATACTTGTGGTGACCCTATGCCTCTACTTTCTGTCGCCCATGTTTATGACTCTCCTATGGTCCACAGTGAAGGTCTGCTGGCACCAGAACCCTGGCAACAGGTCTATGGCCGACACTCTGGCAATGAGATCTATCACATCCAGCTACACAAGAGTCTCTTCTTCAGCCAGTACGTGGGGGAGACGTTTCCTAAGGCGTCTGCTGATGCCCACCATAGGTAAGCCATTGTTCACCCAGGTGAGAGAATGACCCCCTCTCCACAGGTGAGAGATGACCCCTCTCCACAGGTGAGAGAAAAACTCTCTCTCCACAGGTGAGAGAAAAACTCTCTCTCCACAGGTGAGAGAAAAACTCCCTCTCCACAAGTGAGAAAATGACCCCCCACACATGAGAGAATGCCCCACTCCAAAACATAGAAAAAGCTTTTTTAAAATACAAACATAAAAAAATTAACTATCATATATATTATAAATTAGTAAATACTAAACAAAAAAAAAGTAACCAATGTTTTACATAAGTCCAGCATTCCTTTTCTGCAGATTTGGAGTTTTGAGCCAATGTTTTACTTTCCTGCAGATTTGGAGTTTTGAGCCAATGTTTTACTTTCCTGCAGGTTTGGCGTTTAAATGTTTTACTTTCCTGCAGATTTGGCGTTTAAATGTTTTACTTTCCTGCAGGTTTGGCGTTTAAATGTTTTACTTTCCTGCAGGTTTGGCGTTTAAATGTTTTACTTTCCTGCAGGTTTGGCGTTTAAATGTTTTACTTTCCTGCAGGTTTGGCGTTTAAATGTTTTACTTTCCTGCAGATTTGGCGTTTAAATGTTTTACTTTCCTGCAGGTTTGGCGTTTAAATGTTTTACTTTCCTGCAGGTTTGGCGTTTAAATGTTTTACTTTCCTGCAGGTTTGGCGTTTAAATGTTTTACTTTCCTGCAGGTTTGGCGTTTAAATGTTTTACTTTCCTGCAGGTTTGGCGTTTAAATGTTTTACTTTCCTGCAGGTTTGGCGTTTAAATGTTTTACTTTCCTGCAGGTTTGGCGTTTAAATGTTTTACTTTCCTGCAGATTTGGCGTTTAAATGTTTTACTTTCCTGCAGGTTTGGCGTTTAAATGTTTTACTTTCCTGCAGGTTTGGCGTTTAAATGTTTTACTTTCCTGCAGGTTTGGCGTTTAAATGTTTTACTTTCCTGCAGGTTTGGCGTTTAAATGTTTTACTTTCCTGCAGATTTGGTGTTTAAATGTTTAACTTTCCTGCAGATTTGGCGTTGCCCTTCTGGCTGTCCTAGATGCTGAAGCTGCCATGCCACGTCTGCAGCTGAACCCAGGACCAAACTACAGGCTGAAGGTTGGGACGTTTGTCTGTTTGTCTGTCTAAAGTTGTTTGTTTGCTTGTCTGTATGTTGGGGGATTTGTTTGTTTGTCTATCTGTATGTTGGGACATTAGTCGGGCTTGAAATATGATGGAGCATTAAGTGTGAAACACGTGTCAAAAAATAACCTTTGACCTTTAGGCCCAAGACTACTGCTTCTACATGAGCGTAACAAGGGAAGAGTACTCTAAAGTCAGCCCCGACGCCCTAGAGAGCACACCACGCAGGAAACATGAAAACTTAGGTAAGTGGCTGCAACTTGTTCTGTTACTACAAAAACTTTGATTCACTTTCAAGAAAATCACATAAGTAGGTACCAGCAGTGGCGTAGCGAGGTCGGGTGTCACCCAGTGCGGCACTTAATGGTGTCACCCCCCCAGAGGCATAGAGACCCTTCCCAGGGGCAAACTTTCAAATTTTCGATTTGCACCCCCCCCTTAAACTTTCGATTTGCACCCCCCCTCAAACTTTCAATTTGCACCCCCCCTCGAGTTTTTCTCTATATATTTTGCTATTTTTTGCCTTGGTGTCACCCCCCTAAATGGTGTCACCCGGTGCGGTCCGCACCCCCCGCCCCCCCTCGCTACGCCCCTGGGTACCAGCACAAAGAATCGATTAAAAACAACAAAATTACATTTCCGTTATCTCAGTCTCTGATTTTTAATTATTTTTCAAACCGTTGATGCGCTATAATTTCCTTGAAGTTTTTTTTTATTGATCCTGTTCTCAATGTATAAAAAAATGTTAAAAGGTAGCCATTAAAACTATTCAGTTATGGCTTCGTCTTTAGACAATATTACCTTCATAATATCATACACTGCTTTACATAATTTTGTCATACAAAAATAAATGTCAGAGGAAAAGGTCTGTAAAAAAAAACCTGATGTTTACCATTGTACACTTAACTCTTCCACTCCTGTAGCTAAAGATTCAGGTTCCATATCTACAATCATGGGATTCTCAAACCGCTGTGGTATGAGCCTTTGTATGGCTATGTTGTCTCTGATTGGCTATGTTGTCTCTGATTGGCCTACCCTTGCATCTTATCACTTCTGACTGCATCATTGGGTGTTGTATCAGCCTTAACAGTTTGCGCTGAGAGTTTCTGCTTCTCTGGTCTTTTCCTTAGTAGATTCTATCTGCATTATTTCCTGCCAGAGTTTCAGTCATGTCCAGTCATGTCCAGTCATGTCCAGTGGGGGGGGGGGGGGGGGGGGTGAAAGTATAATTTTTACATGACATTGTAGTCAATTTATGCAATGATTGCAATCAATCAGTGTAATGATTGTAATCAGTAGATTTGTAGTGTGGTGTGTCACCAATAGATGTGTGGTATGGTGTGTCACCAGTAGATGTGTGGTGTGTTGTGTCACCAGTAGATGTGTGGTATGTGTCACCAGTAGATGTGTGGTGTGGTGTCACTAGTAGATGTGTGATGTCACCATTAGATAAGTGGTGTGGTGTCAAAAGTTCATGTGTGGTGTGTCACCAATAGATGGGTTGTGACATCATCAGATGTGTGGTGTGTTGTGTCACCAGTAGATGTGTGGTGTGTTGTGTCACCAGTAGATGTGTGGTGTGTCACCAGTAAATGTGTGCTGTGTCACTAGTAGATGTGTGGTGTGTTGTGTCACCAGTAGATGTGTGGTGTGCTGTGTCACCAGTAGATGTGTGGTGTGTTGTGTCACCAGTAGATGTGTGGTGTGTCACCAGTGGATGTGTGGTGTGTCACCAGTGGATGTGTGCTGTGTTGTGTCACCAGTAGATGTGTGGTGTGGTGTGTCACCAGTAGATGTGTGGTGTGTTGTGTCACCAGTAGATGTGTGCTGTGTTGTGTCACCAGTGGATGTGTGGTGTGGTGTGTCACCAGTGGATGTGTGCTGTGTTGTGTCACCAGTAGATGTGTGGTGTGGTGTGTCACCAGTGGATGTGTGGTGTGGTGTGTCACCAGTTGATGTGTGTTGTGGTGTGTCACCAGTGGATGTGTGGTGTGGTGTGTCACCAGTAGATGTGTGGTGTGTTGTGTCACCAGTAGATGTGTGCTGTGTTGTGTCACCAGTGGATGTGTGGTGTGGTGTGTCACCAGTGGATGTGTGGTGTGTCACCAGTGGATGTGTGCTGTGTTGTGTCACCAGTAGATGTGTGGTGTGGTGTGTCACCAGTGGATGTGTGGTGTGGTGTGTCACCAGTTGATGTGTGGTGTGTCACCAGTGGATGTGTGGTGTGTCACCAGTAAATGTGTGGTGTCACCAGTAAATGTGTGGTGTGTCACCAGTAAATGTGTGGTGTGTCACCAGTAGATTAGATGTGTGGTGTGTCACCAGTAGATGTGTGGTGTGTCACCAGTAGATGTGTGGTGTGTCACCAGTAGATGTGTGGTGTGTTGTGTCACCAGTAGATGTGTGGTGTGTTGTGTCACCAGTAGATGTGTGGTGTGTTGTGTCACCAGTAGATGTGTGGTGTGTCACCAGTAGATGTGTGGTGTCACCAGTAAATGTGTGGTGTGTCACCAGTAAATGTGTGGTGTGTCACCAGTAGATTAGATGTGTGGTGTGTCACCAGTAGATGTGTGGTGTGTCACCAGTAGATGTGTGGTGTGTTGTGTCACCAGTAGATGTGTGGTGTGTCACCAGTGGATGTGTGGTGTGTCACCAGTAAATGTGTGGTGTCACCAGTAAATGTGTGGTGTGTTGTGTCACCAGTAGATGTGTGGTGTGTTGTGTCACCAGTAGATGTGTGGTATGTTGTGTCACCAGTAGATGTGTGGTGTGTTGTGTCACCAGTAGATGTGTGGTGTGTTGTGTCACCAGTAGATGTGTGTTGTGTCACCAGTAGATGTGCGGTGTGGTGTGTCACCAGTAGATGTGTGGAGTGTCACCAGTATATGTGTGGTGTGTCACCAGTATATGTGTGGTGTGTTGTGTCACCAGTAGATGTGTGGTGTGTTGTGTCACCAGTAGATGTGTGGTGTTGTGTCACCAGTAGATGTGTGGAGTGTCATCAGTTCATGTTTGGTGTGTTGTCACCAGTAGATGTGTTGTGTCACCACATAGATGTCACTCTGTTTGACATGTAGCATGGCATCAGACGTAACTAACAAACCAATGTTCTAATCAGCTGTGTGCTATTTTTGTTTTCCTATTTAAAGAGTTTAAATTGTGTTATATATTTTAAGAAAGTGACATGACAGTCCAGATACTAGACAGGTTTTGTGTCCCCATCTGGCCAGGTCATTTGTCTAAACTTTAACCAATCCTTGTGATGACGGAATAACCTATAGCTTTTGTAGTGTTTTTTTAAACCTGACTTTCTTATGGTTTGTTTCAGTCATCTACAGCTTCTAAGTCATGTTGGCCTACTAGATCTAATATGTTTGAATGAAGTCATGTTGGCCTACTAGATCTAATATGTTTGAATGAAGTCATGTTGGCCTACTAGATCTAATATGTTTGAATGAAGTCATGTTGGCCTACTAGATCTAATATGTTTGAATGAAGTCATGTTGGCCTACTAGATCTAATAGGTTTGAATGAAGTCATGTTGGCCTACTAGATCTAATATGTTTGAATGAAGTCATGTTGGCCTACTAGATCTAATATGTTTGAATGAAGTCATGTTGGCCTACTAGATCTGTTAGATATTGTCTTAACATGGCATGCCAGCCCACTACTTGGCCACTCTCTGTGAACTTTGTTTGATCTCAACTTGCCTGACCAGTTCTGGTCCTTAGGAATCTTGAACTCCCAGATATGTGGGTGGTGTTGTCATTACTTACACTTGGGGCTGATGCTATTGTCTTGTTTCTTGTGGTGCATTATATTTGCCCAAATGTCATGAAAATTAAAATGTCATGAAAATTAAAATGTCATGAAATCAAAATGTCATGAAAATTAAAAATTAAAATGTCATGTCATCCTATACTACACCAATTGCATGTCATGTCAAGCAGAATGGTGTGTTGGTGTTTACTTTTGTTTGGTGTCTGCAAGTGTTAACAAATGTCATGTTAACAACAAATGTCATGTTAAATGTCATGCTAGTGTTGTATAACAGTCAAGTTCCTGTAGACTCACAGGGCAGACAACTTAAATACTTTGATATTCTATTCAAACATGAGTTACTTACCCTGTCTTGCTAGTTGCTGGTAGCTTTCTTTTCCAAAAAAAAACTAAATTCTATTTTATTAGTTTGCTAGTTTGATTAAAAAATAGATATTTACGTTTGGTAACTTTTACATAAAGAAAAAAACATTTCATAAATTCTTAAGGAATTAATTAGAAAATTTCTTTTTAAAACTTTTCAAAACTTTTCAAACCAAAATGTTTTAAATCCTTTAATTTTCCAAGTTAGAAATGTCTTTCTCACCACACTAGGATAAAACAGTTTACAAGGATTAAGTTTTAGGATGTATTAACTGATTAGTCTGATCATAATTGTTGGTGAGTTTACTTGGATAGGCTTAAAACTGGCTTTTAGAGTCTCACACAGGAAAATTTATTTTTACTTAAATATCACGACTCTTCCAGCAAAGTATGACCTTGACCTTACGTCTCTACCCCTCCAGCCCAGATAGCCTTGGCCCTACAGAAGTACCACAACGAGGCTGACCAGTCCATGAACGCGGAGGAGGCTGACGAGGCCGTGTTTGACACCATCACCAGCCTGATGGGGGAGAAGATCACACGCATGGCCCGTAACCAGACGGAGCCCGTCTTCTCCACGGGCAACGAGCCCAAGGGTCTGCCGGAGAAGAAAAGCAACAAGAAGGGCTCCGTGAGCTTCAGCTCCATCCCTCTGCTGCACGTCGACGAGAGCAACAACAGCATCGAGCAGGTGCCGGAGGAAGAGGAGAAGGTCACGACCTCATGTGAGGACCTCAGCGGGGCTGATGGCGACAGCAAGGAATCAGATTTAGGTCAGTTGAGGTCAGATTTAGGTCAGTTGAGGTCAGATTTAGGTCAGTTGAGGTCAGATTTAGGTCAGTTGATGTCAGATTTAGGTCAGTTGATGTCAGATTTAGGTCAGTTGTCAGATTTAGGTCAGTTGAGGTCAGATTTAGGTCAGTTGAGGTAAGAGTTAGGTCAGTTGAGGTCAGATTTAGGTCAGTTGAGATCAGATTTAGGTCAGTTGAGGTCAGATTTAGGTCAGTTGAGGTCAGATTTAGGTCAGTTGAGGTCAGATTTAGGTCAGTTGAGGTAAGAGTTAGGTCAGTTGAGGTCAGATTTAGGTCAGTTGAGGTCAGATTTAGGTCAGTTGAGGTCAAATTTAGGTCAGTTGAGGTAAGCGTTAGGTCAGTTGAGGTCAGATTTAGGTCAGTTGAGGTCAGATTTAGGTCAGTTGAGGTCAGATTTAGGTCAGTTGAGGTCAGATTTAGGTCAGTTGTCAGATTTAGGTCAGTTGAGGTCAGATTTAGGTCAGTTGAGGTAAGAGTTAGGTCAGTTGAGGTCAGATTTAGGTCAGTTGAGATCAGATTTAGGTCAGTTGAGGTCAGATTTAGGTCAGTTGAGGTCAGATTTAGGTCAGTTGAGGTCAGATTTAGGTCAGTTGAGGTCAGATTTAGGTCAGTTGAGGTCAGATTTAGGTCAGTTGTCAGATTTAGGTCAGTTGTCAGATTTAGGTCAGTTGAGGTCAGATTTAGGTCAGTTGAGGTAAGAGTTAGGTCAGTTGAGGTCAGATTTAGGTCAGTTGAGGTCAGATTTAGGTCAGTTGAGGTCAGATTTAGGTCAGTTGAGGTCAGATTTAGGTCAGTTGAGGTCAGATTTAGGTCAGTTGAGGTCAGATTTAGGTCAGTTGAGGTCAGATTTAGGTCAGTTGAGGTCAGATTTAGGTCAGTTGAGATCAGATTTAGGTCAGTTGAGGTCAGATTTAGGTCAGTTGAGGTCAGATTTAGGTCAGTTGAGATCAGATTTAGGTCAGTTGAGGTCAGATTTAGGTCAGTTGAGGTCAGATTTAGGTCAGTTGAGGTCAGATTTAGGTCAGTTGAGGTCAGATTTAGGTCAATTGAGGTCAGATTTAGGTCAGTTGAGGTCAGATTTAGGTCAGTTGAGGTCAGATTTATTTAGGTCAGTTGAGGTCAGATTTAGGTCAGTTGAGGTCAGATTTAGGTCAGTTGAGGTCAGATTTAGGTCAGTTGAGATAAGATTTAGGTCAGTTGAGGTCAGATTTAGGTCAGTTGAGGTCAGATTTAGGTCAGTTGAGATAAGATTTAGGTCAGTTGAGGTCAGATTTAGGTCAGTTGAGATCAGATTTAGGTCAGTTGAGATCTGTACCAGAAGCCTGTTGGATAAAAAAATATGGTTGCTAACAGTGTTTCTTTCAGGCATCTCGTGGGGGCAGTACCTCTCCCCACCCAAATAGAATAGAAATATAAAAAAACAGAAAAAAAGATACTTAAACCAGTGTCCACCACCTTCCCTGTTTGCAATAGCTACAGTCTAGCTTTTGTTGGTTTTTAGATTGCCAATATGCAGATAAAATTTAACAGTGTAGTTCTATCTGGTGATCTGACATGCCACAACAGCCAAAGTTTCAGGAAGTTTGATTAGATAGATGGTGATTAAGTCTAGGTGCAATTAGACAAATGTTTCCACTGTTTCAGGAAGTTTGATGTTGATTAAGTCTAGGTGTAATTAATAAAATATTTCAACTGTTTCAGGAAGTTTGGGGAACGTGGACCACAGACACGGAGCAGGCCGGGTGCTGCAGTATTACTTTGACATGGGCCAGGAGAAGTGAGCTCACACGTTTCTCTCACACACGTTTTCTCTCACACGTTTTCTCTCACATGTTTTCTCTCCTACGTTTTCTCTCACACATTTTCTCTCTTGGCTTCTCTCAGGCTCAAAAATAGCTTGGACAATTTCTTACATTTTAGTCATATTGTAAAACAATAAAATTTATAAAGAAGCTAAAATATTCATAAATTGTCTAACTTTGAGAACAACTGTCAGACTAATCTTGAGATGACAGACCTTGAGATGACTGACCCTGAGACGACTGACCTTGAGACTGACCTTGAGACGACTGACCTTGAGATGACTAACCTTAACAACTGACCTCAAGACTGACCTTGATACTGACCTTGATACCACAGGTTGATCACGGGTCCACCACCAGTCACCATCATATCTGGGTCAAGGAGAACCAGGTGTCACATCATGTCTGAGCCACGTCACTTCTGCTGTCTGGAGTGGGGAACTGTAAGTCACCTTTCACACCTGTGTCACTACACACCTGTGTCACTACACACCTGTGTCACTACACACCTGTGTCACTACACACCTGTGTCACTACACACCTGTGTCACTACACACCTGTGTCACCAATCAACTATGTCCCCCTGTCAACCAATGCCCATATCTCCCATGAGTTCTAAGATACATTTTCCACCATTTAATATTTCTTGTAATATTTCTTTTGTGTGTTTTTCAAACCTTTATTAAAATCCCCATCACAGTTAAATCTACTAGCTGCTCAATATTCTATCTGACCCACTAATTACAAGTTCAGATTAATAAAGTGTACACTTATTTTACCAGGACTGTGAACATTGTAAATACAAGAACGTCAACGATGAAAGGTGGCACCACCAGCTCATCATTCTAGCTGTAGAACACGCCACCAGTGGGATCTTCAACTTCATTGTACCCCTGCGTTCTTCTTTCATTGGCATCAATGGCCTCAGTCCCATAGTTTTACTTCTGGAAGAAAAGTAAGCTCTTTGTTTACAGATATAATCTTTTACAGTTCTAATATTTAAAGAAAACATATTAGCTGAAGTTTGAATATTGTACACAAAAAGATTCTACAATTTTAGTAATTATTAAATAATTATTAAATAATAAGTGAATAATGTAAACTGATATTTGTTTCATCAAATAAAAAGTTAATGTTTTTAACGTGTCTTTTCTCCTTCACCAGACCTGACTCTGTGTTCCTGGATACTATTGCTCAGTTTCCCCTTGTCTACTACATGATTGGGAAAATTAAAAAGTCAGTCTCTGCATTTTGTTCACTAAATACTTTTAACTTATTTTAGAACTCTGATACTTTATTGGCCATTTTATAAAATTTTTACTGAAAATAACAGAGCTGAAGCTAAAATCGATTTGTTTCTCCAGTGTGGATGACCTACTTGTAGCAGGCATCAACAAAGCCAGCCATCTTGTTGTGGTCAACCGTGATTCAGACACAGACTACGGAGGGGAGGAAATCCTGGCAGACTCAGAGACCATAGTGGCAGTGCAGACAATCTTCAGGTAGTAAGGGGTTAATAAGCCACATTTAATCTTCAGATTGTAGGGGGTTGATAATAATTTTATAAAATTGAAGACTGCCATTATATTGTTGTATAAAATTGTACTATCAGATGATTTTATAAAGTTGTACCATAATATTGTTGTATACAATTGTTGTATAAAATTGTTGCATAAAATTGTACCATAATATAATTGTCTACAATTGTACCATAATTTTGCAGTATAAAATTGTACCATAATATCATTGTCTACAATTTTACCATCAGATTGTTCCCCAACACATATGTAGTCACAGAGCTGAGCCAAGCCTCCAACATGAGATTCATGCAGTTTTCTGCTCAAGATGTTTACTCACAGAAGGCATCAAGGTTGGAACAGGTAAACATCAATCCACTGCAGGCCAACTAGTTTTACCTCCATCATTATCAGACAAAATTATGCCTTGTGTATGTTTTACTGTATTTCTTCTTTTTCATTAGTTTCCATTTGTGAAATATTTTTTGTAGTTTAATTAGCAATAACTGGTTAATTAATTTGATCACAATGTTTTATTGTAATGTTGACTTTTCCCAGAAATTAAAAGACACTTTAACCACCAACTTGAATCAAATTTTCCGTCTTCCATTTGCTGCTGGTCAAGTCTTCTCAGCCAGTATGTTGGACACTTTGTTGTATCAGGTAAATAGTTTTGTTGTATCAGGTAAATTGTTTTGTTGTATCAGGTAAATAGTTTTGTTGTATCAGGTAAATAGTTTTGTTGTATCAGGTAAATAGTTTTGTTGTATCAGGTAAATAGTTTTGTTGTATCAGGTAAATAGTTTTGTTGTATCAGGTAAATAGTTTTGTTGTATCAGGTAAATAGTTTTGTTGTATCAGGTAAATAGTTTTGTTGTATCAGGTAGTTTTGTTGTATCAGGTAAATAGTTTTGTTGTATCAGATAGTTTTGTTGTATCAGGTAAATAGTTTTGTTGTATCAGGTAAATAGTTTTGTTGTATCAGGTAGTTTTGTTGTATCAGGTAAATAGTTTTGTTGTATCAGGTAAATAGTTTTGTTGTATCAGGTAGTTTTGTTGTATCAGGTAAATAGTTTTGTTGTATCAGGTAGTTTTGTTGTATCAGGTAAATTGTTTTGTTGTATCAGGTAAATAGTTTTGTTGTATCAGGTAAATTGTTTTGTTGTATCAGGTAAATAGTTTTGTTGTATCAGGTAAATAGTTTTGTTGTATCAGATAGTTTTGTTGTATCAGGTAGTTTTGTTGTATCAGGTAAATAGTTTTGTTGTATCAGGTAGTTTTGTTGTATCAGGTAAATAGTTTTGTTGTATCAGGTAAATAGTTTTGTTGTATCAGGTAGTTTTGTTGTATCAGGTAAATAGTTTTGTTGTATCATGTAAATAGTTTTGTTGTATCAGGTAAATAGTTTTGTTGTATCAGGTAGTTTTGTTGTATCAGATAGTTTTGTTGTATCAGGTAGTTTTGTTGTATCAGGTAAATAGTTTTGTTGTATCAGGTAGTTTTGTTGTATCAGGTAAATAGTTTTGTTGTATCAGGTAAATAGTTTTGTTGTATCAGGTAAATAGTTTTGTTGTATCAGGTAGTTTTGTTGTATCAGGTAAATAGTTTTGTTGTATCATATAAATAGTTTTGTTGTATCATGTAAATAGTTTTGTTGTATCAGGTAGTTTTGTTGTATCAGGTAAATAGTTTTGTTGTATCAGGTAAATAGTTTTGTTGTATCAGGTAAATAGTTTTGTTGTATCAGGTAGTTTTGTTGTATCAGGTAAATAGTTTTGTTGTATCAGGTAGTTTTGTTGTATCAGGTAAATAGTTTTGTTGTATCAGGTAAATAGTTTTGTTGTATCAGGTAAATAGTTTTGTTGTATCAGGTAGTTTTGTTGTATCAGGTAAATAGTTTTGTTGTATCATATAAATAGTTTTGTTGTATCATGTAAATAGTTTTGTTGTATCAGGTAGTTTTGTTGTATCAGGTAAATAGTTTTGTTGTATCAGGTAAATAGTTTTGTTGTATCAGGTAGTTTTGTTGTATCAGGTAAATAGTTTTGTTGTATCAGGTAGTTTTGTTGTATCAGGTAAATAGTTTTGTTGTATCAGGTAAATAGTTTTGTTGTATCAGGTAAATAGTTTTGTTGTATCAGGTAAATAGTTTTGTTGTATCAGGTAGTTTTGTTGTATCAGGTAAATAGTTTGTTGTATCAGGTAGTTTTGTTGTATCAGGTAAATAGTTTTGTTGTATCAGGTAAATAATTTTGTTGTATCAGGTAAATAGTTTTGTTGTATCAGGTAAATAGTTTTGTTGTATCAGGTAGTTTTGTTGTATCAGGTAGTTTTGTTGTATCAGGTAAATAGTTTTGTTGTATCAGATAGTTTTGTTGTATCAGGTAAATAGTTTTGTTGTATCAGGTAAATTGTTTTTTGTATCTGTTGTTTACCATCACTAACTTGATAATTTCAGCATGAAAAAAATAAATCGATACAACTTCTGCACTAGCAGAAAAACCTTTATTGACAGCCAGATAAAATTTGGGTAGATGGACCAATATTATTTTGTATACACCAAAATTTGAAGAAAATGTACCTGTCTGCCTGAGTTGTTTAAATGGTGTTTTGATTTCAGACTTTTGTGAAAGGTTACCTCATCAGTTTTTGATTTCAGACTTTTGTGAAAGGTTACCACATCAGTTTTTGATTTCAGACTTTTGTGAAAGGTTACCTCATCAGTTTTGTCCTCCTGAGTTGTTTAAATGATGTTTTGATTTCAGACTTTTGTGAAAGGTTACCTCATCAGTTTTTTCATTTCAGACTTTTGTGAAAGGTTACCTCATCAGTTTTTTCATTTCAGACTTTTGTGAAAGGTTACCTCATCAGTTTTTGATTTCAGACTTTTGTGAAAGGTTACCTCATCAGTTTTTGATTTCAGACTTTTGTGAAAGGTTACCTCATCAGTTTTTGATTTCAGACTTTTGTGAAAGGTTACCTCATCAGTTTTGTCAGACTTCTGCTGGGTATAGACGCCGAGGAGGGCTCCGGTCACTTGTCCAGTGTAAGTGTCCCTAAGTCTTGTTTAGCTGATGTTTACATGCTTACACAATTATTTTCTTGGTTGTTGTACCAAATGTAATGCACAAATATAATTTGCTGTAGTGTTAGAGAATAAAAGTTTTGTCAACTTTTAGATTCGTGTGAAGCGAGCAACAGTCCAGAAGTTTCCAGTCTATGGGGACTTGTATGATGGCCTTTGTTCAGCCACTGGGGAAATTCCTTTTGCTATTTATAGAACAGAAAAAATGTCAGCCCATGAAAGTGAAGAAACACACAAGAGCTATTTTGGAGAGAGAATCTCAGAGTTCCCCCACTTCCACAAGGTAGGGAACTCTAGTCTCGTCTGGTCAAATGTCTGGTAGGAAACTCTAGTCTCATCTGGTCAAATGTCTGGTTGGTCCAGGGGTCATCGTAGCCATAGTTTACTGCTGGTCAAGTGATCTATTAATATAGCGAGTTTGTGATGAATTTGTGATCAGTCTGTGATCAATTTGTGATCAACTTGTGATAAAAATCTGATCTATCCCAGCACCACAAGCCGCGGCCTGAAGGTGAAGGCCTCAACAAGTCCCAGTCAACCATCAGCAGACATCGCTTCTCCATGATCTGCAAACCTGACCAGGACGATCTGGGCGATCTCATCAGGGACAGGCTCAAGTGTCTGAACCTCAACCAGAGCGATTACAGTAAGTTTAGTGGGCAATTTCTACATCACATATCTCAACCAGAACGATTACAGTAAGTTTAATGGGCAATTTCTACATCACGTATCTCAACCAGAACGATTACAGTAAGTTTAGACCAATGGTCTACATCGCATATCTCAACTGACGTGATTACAGTAAGTTTAGATATCTCCACGTTTACTTTGACAGTTGACAAAAAAAAACTTGACAGTTGTCAAAAAACTTGACATTTGACACAAAACTTGACAGTTGTCAAAAACGTGACAGTTGACAAAAAACGACAGTTGACAAAAAACTTGACAGTTGACTAAAAACTTGACCGTTGACAAAAAACTTGACAGTTGACAAAAAACTTGACAGTTGACTCAAAACTTGACAGTTGACTCAAAACTTGACAGTTGACAAAAAACTTGACAGTTGACTCTAAACTTGACAGTTGACAAAAAACTTGACAGTTGCCTAAAAACTTGAACTATTCCCAATAGGTGATGTAAAGCTGAGGCCCAACACCTTGTCTTATGTCATCACTAATCCTTCACCAAAACGAAAACTCAGGATTGGGGACATTGTGTAAGTAGGGACTGAATTGTTGGATGTAGGCAGTAAAATGTTGGATGTAGGCAGTGAAATGTTGGATGTAGGCAGTGAAATGTTGGATGTAGGCAGTGAAATGTTGGATGTAGGCAGTGAAATGTTGGATGTAGGCAGTGAAATGTTGGATGTAGGCAGTGAAATGTTGGATGTAGGCAGTGAAATGTTGGATGTAGGCAGTGAAATGTTGGATGTAGGCAGTGAAATGTTGGATGTAGGCAGTGAAATGTTGGATGTAGGCAGTGAAATGTTGGATGTAGGCAGTGAAATGTTGGATGTAGAGCAATGTGTGTTGAATGAGAGGCCTGTGGAAAACTTTAAGCCATAATTCCCGTGCAGAAAACCTGCTGGAGCAAATGGATGTAATGGTGCCATCTACCTAATGTTCAGCACCAGTTTAACTCTAATTATTTTTGTTTACTCTCAACTGTTTTAAAGCTAAAATGTTTGATTCATTGTAAGCTGAAATTAGTTTTTCATATTCCCACTATTTGTTTGTTTGATGGTATTTTTCCCATGTTCCCACCAGCTACGTGATTCAGCCTTCATCTATGTCTGCTGTCCCATCTAAACGCAAGTTTTACATGCACCGGTCGCACAGTTTTGGTGGTACAGACAGCAACACTCTAGCACCACCTCGCAACAACGGCTTCACTGGTGGGGAGAAAAAGGTTGGACGCTTTAAGCTGAAGAGGATCAACTCAGATAAGATAGTGAGACCCAGGAGCAACACCCTGCCCGATGGCAGCACAGACTAAATGTTTGTCAGTAGGTGATTCAGTTCAAACTGTCGTCAGTCAGTGTACAAATATATTTGTCTGTAAACTGTCCTATCATTATTTTAGCATGACCAAAAGCTTGCCAGCTACTGAGAACGGTGCTATGGAATTTTTTTCCATTTTCTTACACACATTTTTATTAATCATTAACTTTGTTGCAGATATCTTTAAATAAATTATAAAGTATAAATTAGATTCGAAGTTGAAAACAAAATGGTTGTAATATAATTTTTTAAAGATGTAATTTAAAAGATTAAATTGTTTTTAATGCTCAACTTCAGTAGGTCTAAATAATATGCTTTTGCAATTAAATTATTGGCTGGCTAATTTGTATAAAAAGTGACATTACAGATTCATAAAAGTATAATTACAATTTTTAAAAATCTCTTTCGGTAAGGGCAAAATGAGTCTCATTGTTTTCATTGAGAAATAGTATGTAAATAAATATTTTCTTTTTAAAATTATATTTTACACATTTTAATATTTTGACAAAGTAAGAATTGTTGTTTCTGTATGTTTTTTCAAGTAAATCTGAAATGTTGAAAATACTTTTTCATGCTGTATAATTTTTGTATTTGTAAAATATTTTAAATGAAGTTTTTATATAAATCTATTTAAAATATAAAAAAAAATGTATATACATTCAGCCTACTTATATTTTCAGCCAGTGAAGTTTCAAACACTGAGCCATTAACTGATATTATCCTTAGAACATTTTTAAATACTGTAGATTATTCTAGTCTCTCATTTATGTGTGGTCATAAACATTTCATTTAGATTACATCCCTTGGTCTTTCAACATCATTTATAAAGGTACTTAACTCTGCTATTGAGATGTTTAACTTGTCACATTTGTTAAAAAGCTACTTAACTCAAAATATCTACTTAATTGCCATAAACAACCACAGATTTAATCTTATGACACATAAAACATTTTTGTTTTTGTAGATTGGTAAATGACAATGTTTTTTTAGTTCAATGAAGATGGCTTTTTACATGACAGAAAAAATTAAGATAAAATTGTAAATGTTTGTAAGCAAATTGATTCCTAGTAGGTTTTGTAAATACATTATAAACATTCCCTGCATTGGCCCAGTGTGTTGTTGGCTGTTCAAATCTCGGTTCATTCGGTTTGTCTCAAAATGGTTGACATTTTTTCCCTCTGTACCAAGTGCCTTAAAATGTGCCTGCTTTTTTTTGTCTTGATTGACAGGATGCCAGCCCGTTGTTTATTTTATATGTATTATAGATCTTCATTCTTACTGGTCAAAATATTTTGTACATTTTCCAGATGAGTAAAATAAATGTCATTTTTCTAATTTTTTTTTTACTTATCTCTTACAATGTTAAACTATTATTTTCAAGGCACTCAGTTAAAATGTTTTTATACAATTTTTGCATTTCTTTTCAAAACAATGATCCAAAAATTTAATTTAAAAAAGTTTTATTAATACTAAATAGATTTTATATAGAAAATAAACAGTAATCTTTGTTTCAGAAATGTATATCAATAGAATATGTACATACAAAATAATGTAACCATAGGTATATCAGACCAAATATTGCCAAACAAAAGGCAAGGTGCTTACAGTAAGACAAAAATGCTGTTTAGTTAACATTATCATAGGCATTCACTTCATGTCTATCATAATATGAAAAGCTTGAGCTCCTGAATTTTAAAATCATGCTACGGAACAGATCTTAGTTTTCTTGAAAGTAGAAAACCGGTTTATTCCATGTGGTCTTCATTGATCGTAGAATATTCATAGAAAAATTACAAAAAATTAAATATTAATGAGGGAGGGGAAGTTTCACCCTATAGGGGGCTAGCAGCATACATTTTGCGTGTAACATACTGATTAAAAAATAACCAAGTAATGCAAGGATTTAGGAGAAAAAAGTCATTACAATTTAACAGGTTTAAATTATTGCACCCTATTAATGAAACAATTTTAAAACAAGCCATGAAATACAATCCATGTTTTTATAAATCAAATTCTTTACTCAACGGGTCATTGATTATTCTTTTATGGATCTCCACAAACAAGGGGACGTAAGTCACAAAGTCCAAGAAATCAATCAATCCTTTGTTTTCTCTGTTAAATTTGTTGAGAACCTGAAATAGAAATTTTAATACTGAGGTCCTTTTCTAGTAAAAGACATTGTTTGTCCGTTTCTCTTAGAAAATTATTTTTAAAAATTTCTTCAGTATCTTGAAGACTGATTTTAAAAAAAAATTTGCTTTAAAAATATTCTTTTTACTATAAATAAAAAGTAAAAACAATAAAGAGGAAAACCAAATATCACTGACATATCTGGTATGTTCTGGTTTTAGACCGCCCGCAGTCAGCTCCACTGCCAGACTAGCTGCTTGTGCTGCCCCTTTAGGCATGTGCTCCGTCTCTAGCAGTTCAAACAGTTCCTACAGCAGACGTTAAGGGGAAATCATTCAGCTAAACTATTAAATTATATTTTCTTGGCAGACATGACAGAAGAAAAAATTAAAGTCTAAGAAAAAATTAAAGAAAGTCTTATGTTATGTTTAGGGAAAGTTAAAACAAACCTTGCACTTTTCCATTTTGATGTCCAAAGCGTTGTAGTTGAAATTGTTGATGAGTTTCCTTATGACAGGGCTGTAGGATTAAACAAGAATTCAGGTGATTTGATTGGTTTTTATTTGAACAGGATATTAATTCAGGTAATCTGATAAACCATTTGAATCTTAGATTTTATTTGTTTTAGACTTTTAATTCTACACAGAAGCAACTGGCAGACTCTTTAGGGCCATGTCTGGGGGTTGGGGGGGCAAGTAATGTTATTGTTAATACTACTTGTACTGTAAGATATATGGTTTGTTAATACTAGTACTGTAAGAATATATGGTTCAACATCTAATGTCAGCATCCTATGGATACAGCTAATGTGAGTACTACCAACAAAACTTACTCAAGTTGTGTGACCTTCTCTGACAGAGCTGCTATAATTGTAAACAATCTAAAGTTGATTCTCTCCCTTCCTGGTAAGTTCAAAACCTGAATAGATAAAAAATGTTTTAAAGATTCAGAATTAATAAAAAAAAATATTTTGGTCAATTAAAACTTTTCCTAAATACAAAAACTCTTACACTAACACTAAAAATTTCTTACACTAACATTAAAAATTTCTAATACTAACATAAAAAATATCTAATACTGATATAAAAAATTTCTTATACTAACGTTGTAGAGGAAGAAAAATTCTTTATCTGTCAGGAGATGGTTGTTTATTTGTTGCAAAGCTTCCTCAACTTCTTCAAGATTCATCTCAAAATCCTGCAGGGTAATCAACGTTAATTAAAATTGGTACGGCCAAGTTCCTAATGAGGCTCATCTAATTAATATTTAAAAATAAAGAGACAATTTAAAATTTGCCATCAGCAGATAAAGGCCATCAGCAGATAAACGCCATCAGCAGATAAAGGCCATCAGCAGATAAAGGCCATCAACTTACAGGGTTGGGCCGCAGCCTGTTGTACAGCTCACTCTGCTGTCGCCTGTAGTCTTCTGGCTGTTTGTTGGCCACGCCCTGCCTCATGAAGAAATGGTTCATACAGAAGGCGTCTGCCAGCAGCTTCTCACCTGAGGGGGTGGGGAGGACACAATCAAGGTGGGGAGGACACAAGGTGGGGAGGACACAAGGTGGGGAGGACACAAGGTGGGGAGGACACAAGGTGGGGAGGACACAATCAAGGTGGGGAGGACACAATCAAGGTGGGGAGGACACAAGGTGGGGAGGACACAATCAAGGTGGGGAGGACACAAGGTGGGGAGGACACAAGGTGGGGAGGACACAATCAAGGTGGGGAGGACACAAGGTGGGGAGGACACAATCAAGGTGGGGAGGACACAATCAAGGTGGGGAGGACACAATCAAGGTGGGGAGGACACAAGGTGGGGAGGACACAATCAAGGTGGGGAGGACACAATCAAGGTGGGGAGGACACAAGGTGGGGAGGACACAATCAAGGTGGGGAGGACACAATCAAGGTGGGGAGGACACAAGGTGGGGAGGACACAAGGTGGGGAGGACACAAGGTGGGGAGGACACAAGGTGGGGAGGACACAAGGTGGGGAGGACACAATCAAGGTGGGGAGGACACAATCAAGGTGGGGAGGACACAATCAAGGTGGGGAGGACACAATCAAGGTGGGGAGGACACAATCAAGGTGGGGAGGACACAATCAAGGTGGGGAGGACACAAGGTGGGGAGGACACAAGGTGGGGAGGACACAATCAAGGTGGGGAGGACACAAGGTGGGGAGGACACAAGGTGGGGAGGACACAATCAAGGTGGGGAGGACACAAGGTGGGGAGGACACAAGGTGGGGAGGACACAAGGTGGGGAGGACACAATCAAGGTGGGGAGGACACAAGGTGGGGAGGACACAAGGTGGGGAGGACACAATCAAGGTGGGGAGGACACAAGGTGGGGAGGACACAAGGTGGGGAGGACACAAGGTGGGGAGGACACAATCAAGGTGGGGAGGACACAATCAAGGTGGGGAGGACACAAGGTGGGGAGGACACAAGGTGGGGAGGACACAATCAAGGTGGGGAGGACACAATCAAGGTGGGGAGGACACAATCAAGGTGGGGAGGACACAATCAAGGTGGGGAGGACACAATCAAGGTGGGGAGGACACAATCAAGGTGGGGAGGACACAAGGTGGGGAGGACACAAGGTGGGGAGGACACAATCAAGGTGGGGAGGACACAAGGTGGGGAGGACACAAGATGGGGAGGACACAAGGTGGGGAGGACACAATCAAGGTGGGGAGGACACAATCAAGGTGGGGAGGACACAATCAAGGTGGGGAGGACACAAGGTGGGGAGGACACAAGGTGGGGAGGACACAATCAAGGTGGGGAGGACACAATCAAGGTGGGGAGGACACAAGGTGGGGAGGACACAAGGTGGGGAGGACACAAGGTGGGGAGGACACAATCAAGGTGGGGAGGACACAATCAAGGTGGGGAGGACACAATCAAGGTGGGGAGGACACAATCAAGGTGGGGAGGACACAATCAAGGTGGGGAGGACACAATCAAGGTGGGGAGGACACAAGGTGGGGAGGACACAATCAAGGTGGGGAGGACACAATCAAGGTGGGGAGGACACAAGGTGGGGAGGACACAATCAAGGTGGGGAGGACACAATCAAGGTGGGGAGGACACAATCAAGGTGGGGAGGACACAATCAAGGTGGGGAGGACACAAGGTGGGGAGGACACAAGGTGGGGAGGACACAATCAAGGTGGGGAGGACACAATCAAGGTGGGGAGGACACAATCAAGGTGGGGAGGACACAATCAAGGTGGGGAGGACACAATCAAGGTGGGGAGGACACAATCAAGGTGGGGAGGACACAAGGTGGGGAGGACACAAGGTGGGGAGGACACAAGGTGGGGAGAACACAATCAAGGTGGGGAGGACACAAGGTGGGGAGGACACAAGGTGGGGAAGACACAAGGTGGGGAGGACACAATCAAGGTGGGGAGGACACAATCAAGGTGGGGAGGACACAATCAAGGTGGGGAGGACACAAGGTGGGGAGGACACAATCAAGGTGGGGAGGACACAATCAGGGTGGGGAGGACACAATCAAGGTGGGGAGGACACAATCAAGGTGGGGAGGACACAATCAAGGTGGGGAGGACACAAGGTGGGGAGGACACAATCAAGGTGGGGAGGACACAAGGTGGGGAGGACACAATCAAGGTGGGGAGGACACAATCAAGGTGGGGAGGACACAATCAAGGTGGGGAGGACACAATCAAGGTGGGGAGGACACAATCAAGGTGGGGAGGACACAAGGTGGGGAGAACACAAGGTGGGGAGGACACAATCAAGGTGGGGAGGACACAATCAAGGTGGGGAGGACACAATCAAGGTGGGGAGGACACAATCAAGGTGGGGAGGACACAATCAAGGTGGGGAGGACACAAGGTGGGGAGGACACAAGGTGGGGAGGACACAAGGTGGGGAGGACACAATCAAGGTGGGGAGGACACAATCAAGGTGGGGAGGACACAATCAAGGTGGGGAGGACACAATCAAGGTGGGGAGGACACAATCAAGGTGGGGAGGACACAATCAAGGTGGGGAGGACACAATCAAGGTGGGGAGGACACAATCAAGGTGGGGAGGACACAATCAAGGTGGGGAGGACACAATCAAGGTGGGGAGGACACAATCAAGGTGGGGAGGACACAATCAAGGTGGGGAGGACACAATCAAGGTGGGGAGGACACAATCAAGGTGGGGAGGACACAATCAAGGTGGGGAGGACACAAGGTGGGGAGGACACAAGGTGGGGAGGACACAAGGTGGGGAGGACACAATCAAGGTGGGGAGGACACAATCAAGGTGGGGAGGACACAAGGTGGGGAGGACACAAGGTGGGGAGGACACAAGGTGGGGAGGACACAATCAAGGTGGGGAGGACACAAGGTGGGGAGGACACAAGGTGGGGAGGACACAAGGTGGGGAGGACACAATCAAGGTGGGGAGGACACAATCAAGGTGGGGAGGACACAATCAAGGTGGGGAGGACACAAGGTGGGGAGGACACAATCAAGGTGGGGAGGACACAATCAAGGTGGGGAGGACACAAGGTGGGGAGGACACAAGGTGGGGAGGACACAATCAAGGTGGGGAGGACACAATCAAGGTGGGGAGGACACAATCAAGGTGGGGAGGACACAATCAAGGTGGGGAGGACACAATCAAGGTGGGGAGGACACAATCAAGGTGGGGAGGACACAAGGTGGGGAGGACACAAGGTGGGGAGGACACAAGGTGGGGAGAACACAATCAAGGTGGGGAGGACACAAGGTGGGGAGGACACAAGGTGGGGAGGACACAAGGTGGGGAGGACACAATCAAGGTGGGGAGGACACAATCAAGGTGGGGAGGACACAAGGTGGGGAGGACACAATCAAGGTGGGGAGGACACAATCAGGGTGGGGAGGACACAATCAAGGTGGGGAGGACACAATCAAGGTGGGGAGGACACAATCAAGGTGGGGAGGACACAAGGTGGGGAGGACACAAGGTGGGGAGGACACAAGGTGGGGAGGACACAATCAAGGTGGGGAGGACACAATCAAGGTGGGGAGGACACAATCAAGGTGGGGAGGACACAATCAAGGTGGGGAGGACACAATCAAGGTGGGGAGGACACAAGGTGGGGAGAACACAAGGTGGGGAGGACACAATCAAGGTGGGGAGGACACAATCAAGGTGGGGAGGACACAATCAAGGTGGGGAGGATACAATCAAGGTGGGGAGGACACAATCAAGGTGGGGAGGACACAATCAAGGTGGGGAGGACACAATCAAGGTGGGGAGGACACAAGGTGGGGAGGACACAAGGTGGGGAGGACACAAGGTGGGGAGGACACAATCAAGGTGGGGAGGACACAATCAAGGTGGGGAGGACACAATCAAGGTGGGGAGGACACAATCAAGGTGGGGAGGACACAATCAAGGTGGGGAGGACACAATCAAGGTGGGGAGGACACAATCAAGGTGGGGAGGACACAATCAAGGTGGGGAGGACACAATCAAGGTGGGGAGGACACAATCAAGGTGGGGAGGACACAATCAAGGTGGGGAGGACACAATCAAGGTGGGGAGGACACAAGGTGGGGAGGACACAATCAAGGTGGGGAGGACACAATCAAGGTGGGGAGGACACAATCAAGGTGGGGAGGACACAATCAAGGTGGGGAGGACACAATCAAGGTGGGGAGGACACAAGGTGGGGAGGACACAAGGTGGGGAGGACACAAGGTGGGGAGGACACAATCAAGGTGGGGAGGACACAAGGTGGGGAGGACACAAGGTGGGGAGGACACAAGGTGGGGAGGACACAATCAAAGTGGGGAGGACACAATCAAGGTGGGGGAGGACACAAGGTGGGGAGGACACAATCAAGGTGGGGAGGACACAATCAAGGTGGGGAGGACACAATCAAGGTGGGGAGGACACAATCAAGGTGGGGGAGGACACAATCAAGGTGGGGAGGACACAATCAAGGTGGGGAGGACACAATCAAGGTGGGGAGGACACAATCAAGGTGGGGAGGACACAATCAAGGTGGGGAGGACACAATCAAGGTGGGGAGGACACAATCAAGGTGGGGAGGACACAATCAAGGTGGGGAGGACACAATCAAGGTGGGGAGGACACAAGGTGGGGAGGACACAATCAAGGTGGGGAGGACACAATCAAGGTGGGGAGGACACAATCAAGGTGGGGAGGACACAAG